TGGTGCTGACATAGATGCTTCACTTCTAATGACGGTAAGGGTCCGTGCTAGGACACGTGGCAATGTGACCTCCAGAGTAAATCTGTATTTACAGCTGTCATGAGTGACTTCCAACAAAGTGAGGAAAAATATTGACTTCTCCTACAGAATAAAACCCAACAAAAGAAGCTAAGGCTGCCTTATTTAGGGAACAGCACGTTTCACCTCTGTTATTGAGGTGAAAATACAATTCTGAAATGCTTTGAGAATGTTTTTAGTTCCATGACCCCAGCTATGATCTCATCTCAGTTGCTGGCAGGCAAGACCATGGAAAATTCCTCTGTGCTCTAATGCAAACTGCAACCTCACTGAAATGCACGTAGCCCTCCTTGTGGGTCAGGAAAGCAGGGATGTTTTGAGCACTGTGTGACTATGTGGTGTGAGTTCATGGCTCTTTCTCCTCTGGGTTCTAAATTTCTCTGTCTCAAGTGGAAATGCTCTGTGTGTCTTTCCTTCTGGGCACTGAGTCTGTCCATACAGTGGTTGTGTGTCTGCTTAGGCTGCACAAGGTCTACACATCATAGCAGGTAGTTGCGCACATCCAGCCATTGCACATTATTCCAGTGAAGCAGAAAGAAAGTTGTTTTGACATTTTGAGTGCAGCAGTCTTCCTTAAGGGAGAGCAGCAAAACACTTGAGACCTTCCATTGGGCCATAAGGGGTGGTTGAGTGGGTTGTCTCCTTGAGATTGCCCGGAGAATACAGCAGCCCAAACGGTGTTGGGATAAAACGTAATGGACTAGACCAGACCAGGCAAGACTAGACTAGGATACACTAGAAGCATGTCGTGGTTTAAGCCCTGCTGGCAACTCAGAACCATGCAGCTGCTCGCTAGCTCACTCCCCCATTTATTTCTCCCTCCACTCCTGGAGGGATGGGGAGGAGAATTGAAAGAATGCAGCTCCCACAGGTTGAGGTAAGAACAGTCCAATAACTGAGGTATAACACAAAAATACTACTGCTACCACCAATAATAATAATTATAAGTGAAATAATAAGGGGAGAGAATAGAATTGCTCACCACCTGCCAACTGATACTCAGCCCAACCCAAGCAGCGATCTGGGCTTTTTGGTTAACTCTACTCAGTTTATTTACTGGGCATGATGTACTGTGGTGTGGAATACCCCTTTGGCTAGAGGCTCAGTTTGGGTCAGGTGTCCTGTTTCTGCTTCCTCCTGGCCTCCCCTCCTCCCTAGGAGAGCATGAGACTGAGAAAGTCCCTGGTTGGCGTAAACATTACTTAGCAACAATTGAAAACATTGGTGTTATCAGCATTCTTCCCAGGCTGAAAGTCAAGAACAAAAGCACTGCACCAGCTATTAAGAAGGAGAACACTGACTGCTACTGCTGAACCCAGGACAAAGTACATTTTGAATGATCTTCTGCTCCAACTATCTGACCACTTCAGGGCTGAACAAAAAATGTTTTAAGAGCATTGTACAAATACCTGTTGAACACTGACAGGCTTGGGCCATTGACCCCCTCTCTAGGAAGCCTCTTCCAGTGTTTGACCACTCTTTCAGGAAAGAAACGCTCATAATATCAAGTGAAATCCTCCACAGGTGTGGCTTTGAACTGTTCCCACACATCCTATATCTGGATATGAGGGAAAAGAGCTCAGTGCCTCCCTCTCCAAACCCCTCCTTAGGAAGATGACCCTCGCATGTTTCTTCAGTTGGAGCACTCAGCACAGCACACAGTACTCAAGGTGAGGCCACACCAATGCTGATAATTATGTCTTGTGTTTGATGTCCACAGGATGTGGTTTGTCATCTTGGCTGGAAGGGCACACTGATGGCTTGTGGTGCACAGGAGCAACCCCAGCAGTTGCCTCTCTGCAGGGCTGCCCTCCAGCTTCTTCTTGCCCAATTTAGACTAAAATCCAGAAAAACTACATCCCCCCTTCTCTTCATGAATGAGGCAGGTGACCTTACACCTCCATATTTTGTCCAGGAGCTGAGGTGAGACCAAGTGGTCTGTAGTTGCTTTCATGAGGAAAGATCTTTCCTCATGACCTTCTTGCAAACTGGAAGAACATTGGCTAGTTTCCAGCCAGGAAGATCAGGGGACTGTCCTCTGTGACACTGGGCAACCCAGGGGTCTAACGATTATTTAAAACGAGGCAAGAAAAGCACCGTCTTCTCTGCTCCTTAGCGCCTGTTACTCGGGGAGGGACCATCTTCCACAAGTACCAGTCTAATGTTTTCTTTCAAACTCCTTGCTATGAACATACTTAAAAAGCCATTCTTGTCATCTAACACAACACTGGTCAGTTTCAACTGTGATTGAGTTTTGGCCTCTGGGGTCTTCTCTGTTCATATATGAACCACAGCTCTGTAAGTTTCCTGCAATGCCAGACCTTTCTTCCAGATTCCATACCATTTCTTTTTCCTCTGGAGCAACACAAGAAGATCCCTTTTGGGCCAGGCCAGCTTCTGATCCAACAGCTTGACTCTTGGCACAGTGTAATTGCTTTCTAACAGACTGTAACTGTACAGAGTAGTGAAAATATGTTCCTTGTCCTTGGCTGGATTGTAGGGAAAATCCATAAGTTGCTTCAAGAGACTTTTTCTGAAAGTAGAATTGAGATAAAATCAGCAGAGGGACTTTGGGTTTGGCCTTATTGTTGTTTCTGAATGCAGGTGTTTCTTGATGGGAGTGGAAAGACGTATTCTTACGATTTTCTGTGTTTTTTATTAGATAAATGCATTCTCCTTTTTGCCTTTTCTTCTTTCAGTCTGTGATCTCTGAGGATTTTCTTGCCCTTTCTCTTAAGAAGGACTGTCACACCCATATATAATAGTGGACTGTTTGAATGCAGCATTGCACAGGGTATTTGGAAACCCTCATGTTGTGTTGTGCTGCAGTTATGAACTGTGCTGTTGTAACGCAGGATACCCTTGTGTATAAAAGCAAAATAAAGAGGACATCCAAATGCTTTGTGTGGGTCCAGTTCTTTGTAGAGCTGTTCTTTCCGGGAAAGTTCTGTCAGAGATTCTAGAGGGCCAGAAGTGTTTTCCCTATGTTGTCCCTTGGCTGAGGTAAGGGTGATTGGGTGCATTTCTTGAGGTGGGGGATGTGGCCAGCAAAGCAACTTCAGGCAAGCTGTGGGAGCATAAAATTGCTGGCAGGCCTATGTATTTCTCCTCAGTACTGACCACCTGGCTGTGACGGGGCCCAGTCATGTTCGGACTTTAGCAAAATGACCCCTAGACTCCCAGAGGCTGTGGTTGTGCAAGGGCCTCTCCAAGGCATGGATATTAAGAGACTGGCCTTCCCAACTCTTCTGACAGCTCCAGCTGCAGATAGCAACCATGAGGCTCTCCAGCATAAAGTGTTTGTGACGCTAAAGGTGTAGTAGTTTCAGAAGATGAATGTCACAAAGACGGCATCCCTGTTGCTTGGTGGAGCTCCAGGAGGTGGGCTTTTGCTGAGCAAAATCAGCAACCAGGAAGAGGCTTCTCTCCAGAAGTGTCTCAGTGTTCACTGTCAAGTGCTCCAGAAACAATGTCCAAGTCACTAAGGGCATGTCATGGACTCTGATAATGTGAACAACCTGCTATAGAAGATCAGGTTTGAGACCATCTAAAGCAACATGAAGGTGCAGTAATTCATGGGACCTGAAGAGATGCATGCGGCCAAGCCATTATCCATCATGTTTCAGAATTCCTTGTAGTTGGATTAAGTTCATAGTGACTGGAAAATCAGTAACATAATCCCAGTTTTTACAAATGGAAAGTCAGAGAAATATGGGCCCATCAGTCTCATCTTGATGCAAAGAAAGATCATGGAGCATATTCCCTGGAAAGCATGGAAAATCTCTTGAAAAATAAGGAGGTGATTTGTCACCACCAACATGGCCTCACTTATGTTCCCGAATAATTTGGTGTCCTTCTACAATGGCGTTATGGCACTACTGGATAAGGGAAGAGTAATGATGTCACTTACCTGGACTTGTGCAAAGATTTGACACTGTCCAAATGACATCCTTCTGCCTAAACTGGAGAGATATTTATATGATGGATGGACAACTTGGTGCATAAGGAATTGCAAGGATAATTGCACTCAAAGATTTGTGGTTAACGGCTCAATGTCTAAGTGACAAGTGGTGGTTGATGCAAAGCTAAACTTCCCTGACGCAAAATGAGTCCATTTCGTCATGTTCTGTTGCTTCTGACTTGAGAGACGCTATCTCCTGAAACTGCTACAAGCCCCTTTTCAGCACGGGAGCTGGCTGTCATCTGCTGTGTTCTTCCTTTGGTGGAAGAAGAAATTCTGCTCATTGTAAGTGAGGAACCTGCAGGCAGCACCCACTTGCTATTGGTGAGAAAACAACATTCCCGAGGGCTCCCTTTAAAAGCAACGGCGCCCTTTAAGAAGCATTGCGGTGGGCAGGAGCGGTCAGACTATTCTGAGCGCAGGCAATTCCCGCGCCTCTGCAAGCACAACCATCTTCGGCATCGGCCCGTTGGACGGATTCTCCCCCGCCTCCCGACACCTTTGCCCCGCTCCTGCGGGTCTGACCTCGCCTTTGGAACGGCCACGCTGTGCACGGCTCGCCTCCGGACGTCGCCAGCGACGGGCTCTGGGCAGCGAGAGAAGCCGCGGGGCAGGTGCCGGCCATGCCCGGGAGCTCGGGATGCAGCGGTGGCCGCGAGGGGCTCTCGGCCCTCCTGACTGGCTCTACCGTCCCCGGTACGGTGTGCGCACATCCTGCTGCGGGACCTCAATGCGGGTGAGAGACGGGTAGCAGCCTGTGTGCGCACGGGTCCGTGTCGGGGGCGAGCCGCCCCGCGAGCAGCCGGCGGCAACTGGTGCAGTCCCGTCTCGGGCCGCAGGGTGGTGCTGCCGGCCAAGGCGACGGAGACCAGCTGAGAGAGGGGATGTGGCCGAGCCCACGCTGGCTCTGCCCAACCCATCCAAGCCGAGCAGAACTCAGTCCAGCAGAGCCGAGCTGGGCAGCGGGGGCGACCAAAAGCCCTTACCACACGCTGCAGCGACACGGCGGCAGCGCTCCGGTCCGCCAGCCGGACTCGCACAGAGGAAGGGCGCACGCCCACCGTGCCGGAGAGCTGCTGCCAGGTGCCGCTTGCCACGGACGACTGCGCGAGCCATCCCCGACACGGAGGCTGTCCGCCGCCCCGCCATGGTGACCGCAAGGCAAGTGCTCTGTCTTTGTGCTTTCCTCTCCCTGCCGCACGCTCGCGCCGACCCCATCCGCTACTCCGTAGCCGAGGAGAGCGAGAGCGGCTCCCTGGTAGCCAACGTAGCGGAGGACGTGGGGCTGGCCCCGGCGCAGCTCTCGGCTCGCCGCGCCCGCCTGCTCTCGGAGGACGGCCGGCAGCACTTTCGCTTAGACCCGGCCACCGGCCGCTTCGTCGTGGCCGAGAGGCTGGACCGCGAGGAGCTGTGCGGCCAGTCCGCTACCTGCACGCTGCCCTTCGAGCTCCTGCTGGCAAACCCCGTGCAGTTCTTTCGGGTGGAGGTGGCCGTGGAGGACATCAATGACCACGCGCCCGTTTTCCCCGAGGAACGGGTCATTCTTAAGATACTGGAAACGAGCTCCCCTGGCTCTCGTTTCCCTTTGGAGGGAGCTCAGGACCTGGATGTTGGCAGCAACAGCATCCAGGCTTACAGCATCGTACCTGAGAATGAGTACTTCAGCATTGACTTTGGAACTCAAACTGAGGATGCCAAATACATTGAACTTGTTTTGGAAAAGCCAATTGACAGGGAGGAGCAGGCAGAGATGGATTTCAGTCTCATTGCCATAGATGGGGGCTCTCCACCTAGGAGTGGAAGCACCGAAATCTACATTGTCATTCTAGATGTAAATGACAACGCTCCCATCTTCTCACAGAAGGCTTTCATTGCACAGGTTTTGGAAAATGCCCCGGAGGGTTCTTTTGTTATCAGAGTAGCAGCAACAGATCGTGATACGGGAGTTAATGGGGACATCTCCTATCAGATCAGCCAAGCAGGAGACCAGAGCCACTCAGCATTCGACATTGACTCCAGGAGTGGTGAAATTAAACTCACAAAGCCTCTGGACTTTGAGACAGCAAAGAATTATGAGCTTAGAGTGCGGGCCACAGATGGTGGGGGCCTTTCAGCAATCTGCAGAGTGTTGGTGGAAGTGGTGGATGTGAATGACAATGCACCCGAGCTGGTGGTCAGTTCCTTCAGTAGCCCCATCCCTGAGGACTCATTGCCTGGAACAGTCGTCGCCCTCTTTACTGTTAAAGACGAGGATTCTGGTTCCAATGGGAAGATCTCTTGTGCCCTTGAGGACCAGCTGTCATTCTCCTTGCGGCCAGCCTACAAGAATTACTTTGAGCTTGTGACAGTCAGTGCACTGGACAGGGAGGAGAAGGCACGGTACATCCTGACTGTCACAGCAGCAGACGCGGGATCACCTCCTCTCACAAGCACACAAACCTTCACAGTGGACATCTCTGACGTGAATGACAATGCCCCTGTGTTCAACCAGACATCGTATACTATGTACGTACGTGAGAATAATGTTCCCACAGTGCTTGTTGGGACTGTCAGTGCTGTAGATGCCGACATGGGGTCTAATGCCAAGGTGACCTATTCTCTGATCCCAGCCCACCCTACAGAGCAGCCTCCCTGCTCCTGCATTTCTGTGAACTCTGAGAATGGGGATGTGTTTGTGCTGCAGCCCCTGGACTATGAGCAGGTGAGGCAGATTGAGGTCATGGTGAGTGCCTCTGATGCAGGGTCACCACCTCTCAGTGCCAATGTCACCGTCCGTCTTGTTGTGGTGGATGAAAATGACAATGCCCCGATGGTGCTTTACCCCTCACAGGACAGCAGCCCTCCATCCAGTGAGCTGGTTCCTGTTATGGCTGAGGCAGGCTACCTCATCACCAAAGTGGTGGCTGTTGATGCTGACTCCGGACAGAACTCATGGCTTTCGTACCATTTGCTGAAGGCCTCCGATCCTGGGCTGTTTGTGGTGGCTGCCCAAAGTGGGGAAGTGCGACTGAGGAGATCGGTGACAGAGAGAGATGCTGTGAAGCAGAAGCTCGTCATACTGGTGCGAGACAATGGGCAGCCACCACTATCAGCCACTGCAGCACTGAGTGCACTCCTTCTCAGTGACTTCTCTGATGTGCACCTTCCGCACAGCAGCCTGGCTACAGAGGATGAGGGCAGCTCCCTGACAGTGTATTTAATAATTTCTTTGGTCTTCGTCTCACTCCTCTTCCTTGTGTCCACAGCAGCCTTTGTCATTCGCAAGGTGTGCAAGAGAAAGGAGCTGAAGGATGGGCATGTGCTTTACGGTGCCAGCAACTTGCAGACCAGCCTGGCTGATGCAGCTGCTTCAGGGACCCTGCCCCATGGCTTTTGCTATGAGATCAGCCTCACAACGGGCTCTGGCAACAGCGAGTTCAAGTTCCTGAAGCCCATCCTCCCCAGCCTGCCACCACAGCTCCATGCCACACATGGGGTTACCAACAATGAACTAGATTTCCCCTGTGGCACTCTTAATAAGGAGGACGTGGCACCAGACAACCATGGGATGCGTTCTGCAGAACAGTTCAATAGTCTTTCTTTTAACTAGCATTGTGTTGGCACAGGCATAGGTTTAGTGTCTTATAATAGGAAGGGATCCATGCTAAGATATGTGGCAATGTGACCTCCAGAGTAAATCTGTATTTACAGTTGACATCAGTGACTTCCCATGAAGACAAAGTGACAGAAAATACTGACTTCACCTACCCAAAACCCCCAAGCAAACAAAAATGTACAAATCCAACCAAAGAAACTAAATCTCTCTCAAGAAATCGCATGTTTCTGCTCTTTTGCAGCCATGTCTGAACTGCTTTCTGATTAGGATTAATACCAGCACCCCAGGTAAATTCTTGTCTCAGTTGCTGGCAGGCAACACTTTGGACCAATTCATGCTGTAACGCAATGGCATGGTGGGGTAGACAAACCACAACTTCACTCAAATGTATATGTTAGGAAGGCAAGGACATTGTGAGTTCTGTGTGACAATGTAGTATGATCATAGGGCTCTTTCTTCTCTGCATGTCTCTGTCTGAGATGGGTGGGCTCTGTGTTTTTTTTCCTTCTGGTCACTGTGTCTGTCCGTACAGCTGTTGTGTCTGCTTATGCTGCACAAGGGCTACACATCAAAGTAGGCAGATGCTCCCATCCAGCCATTGCAATTCCAGCCCAGCATTAAGAAAGATATTTTGTGTTTTTTAATAGAAAAAATCTCATAGTCTCTAAGGGAGAGCAGCAGAACAATTTCTTTTTCCTTTGGAACTCCAGAAGGATTTCCCTGTTTGGCCAAGCTGATTTTCTGCTCCACGTGCTTGACTTTTGGCACAGTGGAATTGCCTCCTAGTAGACTGTAACCATACAGAGTTATGAGAACATGTTCCTTAAGGAAGATTGTAAGAAAACTCCACAAGTTGCTTTAAGGAACTTTTTCTGAAGGTAGCATCAAGATCAAATCTGAAAATGAACTCTGAGTTTGGTATTGTTGTTGTTGTTCCTGGATTCAGAGCTTTCTTGATGGGAGTGGAAAGCTGTTATGCTATGATTTTCTGTGTTTTTCTCTTAGAGCATTTGAGTTGTTCTTTATGTCTTTTCTCCCTCTGCTCTGTGACTACATTTGAAGATTATCTTGCCTCTTCCTCTTAAGGAGGAATGTCACTCCCACATGTAATTAAGGAAAGATTGTTTAAAAGAAAGCAGCATGACACAGGATATTGGGAAACCCTCATGCTGTGTTGTGCTGCAGTTATAAGCTGAGCTGTTGTAACATGGGTGACCCTTGTGTGTAAAAGCAGAATAAAAAGAACACTTTAATGCTTTGTGTGTATCCAGTCACATTTGTAGAGCTGTCCTTCCTGTGAAAGCTCTGTCACAGTTTCCAAAGGGCCAGAAGTGTTTTTTCTATGGTGCCCCTTGGCCGAATTAAGGTTGAGTGGGTACAGTTCTTGAGTTGGGAGATGCTGCCAGCAGAGCCTTCAAGAAAGTTGCAAGGAGCAGGGAATTGCTGGCAGGCCTCTATAGGTCTCCTTGGTACTAACTGTCTTGCTGTGACGAGAAAAGTTATATGCAGATCAAGAATACCAGGCTTCCTCCTTCCCAGAGACCCTGGGTCTGCTTTAATGTCTGCAAAGCAGGGAGGTGGGGAGAGTGACCTGCCCTACTCTCCTGACTTCTGCAGATGGCAACTGAGGCTTTCCTGAAAGTGTAGGAGTTTCAGAAGATGGATGTCACAAAGATGGCACCCCTGTTCTTTTGGAAGTGTTTATGATGTTTGTGGGAACTCCATGATGTGGACATCTGGTGAGCAAAAACAGTGACCAGGGAGAGGCTTCTCTCCAGAAACATCTCAGCCTTCACTGGCAAGTGCTCTAGCATCAATGACCAAGCCACGCAGGGCATGTAATGGACTGGGAGAATGATGACAACCCACTGTAGAGAAGATCAGGTTTGAGACCAACTAAAGGAACATAAAGGTGCAGAAATACATGGGAATTGAAGAGATGCAGTAGTCAATATACTATCCATCATGTTTCAGAAGTCATGTCAGTCAAGAGAGGATCCCAATGACAGAAAAATGGGAAACATAACCCTGATATTTACAAAGGGAAAAATTGCCAGAAAGCTACAAGCCAGTCAGTCTCACCTCATTGCCCAACAAGATCATGGACCAGATCTCCCTGGAATGCATGCAAAGGCTCATGAAATGTAAGGATGTGATTGGTGCCTGCTGACATGGCCTCACTAACATCCCTGAACAATTTGATGGCTTTCCACAATGGGGTAATGGATTGGTTTGTAAGGGAAGACCGAATGCTGTCATCTACTTGGACTTGGGCAAAGACTTGACTCTGTCCCGCATTACTCCCTTCTCCTTAAATTGGAGAAGTATTTATATGATGGATCTACTTGGAATGGATATGGATATGGAATTGGAAGGATAATTGCACTCAAAGATTTATGGTTAATGGCTCAATGTTCAAGAGACAAGTTGTGTTGGCTGATGCAAAGCTAAACTTGACCCAGCAATGTGTGCTTCCAAGATGAGAAGGATGTGGGTCTGTTGGAGTGAGTTAGATTGAGTCCAGACAAGGGCCACAAAGATTATTAGATGGATGGAGCAATGCTCTTACGAGGAAACCCTGAGACAGCTGGAGTTGTCCAGCCTGGACAACAGAAGGCTTAAGTAGGCTTTAGAGCAGCCTTCCTAAAGGGCATGTACAAGTTCATGTAGTGATAGAAAAAGTGGATATGGCTTTAAAATGACATTGGGTAGATATACATTAGATATTATGGAGAAGTTCTTCCTTGTAGGATTGGTAAGGCATTGGAACAGGTTACCCAGAGAAGTGATGGATGTTCCATGTATGGTCAGGTTAGATGGGGCTTTGTGGAACTTTTCTAGTGGAATGTGCCCCTGCCCATTGCAGGGCAGGTTGGAACTAAATGATCTTTAAAGACCCTTCCAAACCAAACCATTCAAGGATTCTGTGATTCTGTGACATGCGGAGGACTACAGCCATGCTTTCTGCATGACTACACTATTCAATCACCCTGAGTGAAACAGAACAATTTGATTTGGTAAAGATCCCTGAAACAATCAAGTCCAATGATTATTTAACACTGCTAAAGACACCACAAAACCATGCCCCAAAGTGCCATGTCCTGGAATGATGACTCAACCACTTCCCTGGGAAGCATTTGTGAACACTTGACAACCCATTTAGTGAAGAAATGTCTCCTAACATCCAGTCTAGACCTTCCTGGCACAAACAGACCATTCTCTCCCGTTCTGTACTTCTTACAAGAAGAGACCAACCGCAATCTAGCTACAATTTCCTTTCAGGCATAAGCCTCGGCTATCCTGTGCTGTGTTGTATTGCACAAATCCTTTGGCAGAAGGAGAAATTCAGCTCATTTTAAGTAAGGAACCTATAGTGAACACCCACTTGCTACTGGTGAGAAAGCCACCTGTGAGCAGTAAGTCCACATAGAACTTCTTTACCTGGGACAGTGGAAAAGAATAGAAGCTGCTCTCTGACAGGAAAGCTCTGAACTGGCTTGGAGGACTGCAAGGGAGTACTCTCTCTTCTCCCTAAGTGGGGTCTGTCAGTGCCTGACTGGAGTCCTGCCTGAAGCTACGCTGCTCAGGGTTCTCCACATCCAAATAGACATAGGATTATGGATGCTAATCTCCTCCAATAGAACACCTGTAAGAAACGGAGTTGTGAAAGCCATTTGAGAAGGCAGGAGTGTCTCTCCTCCGGAGATCAAAAGGAAAAAGCAGTACATAAACCGACTGGTTCTCGGGTCATTCCAGCTGGATGGGACAGGGATGCAGTGCACAACTACAGGATGTATCACAGTTTCTACCCAGTGAGAGGAGGCCTCTCCAGGACTTGAGAACCTGCAAATACTGCGGGGCATTCCTGCGGGCTCTTCGAAGACTCTTTAGGAAGCATTGTGGTGAGCAGGTTATCCTGGGCGCAGGCACTTCCCTTGCCTTTGCAAGCACCGCCACCCTTGGCATCATCCCACTGGACGGCTTCTCCCTCGCCTTGCGCTAACTCTGCCCTGTTCCCGCGTGTCCGGATTCAGCCTTGGAGCGGCCCGGCTGTGCACCGGTCTCCGCCGGGACCTCGCAGGAGCGGATTCTGGATAGCGGAGGAACCCGCAGGGCAGCTGCTGGTGATGAGCTGCAGCGCCGCAGGGCTCTCGGCTCTCCTGACGCGCTCTGCTGTCCCCTGCGCGATGTGCAAGCATCCTGCCGCGGGGTCCCAATGCGGATGAGCGTCCGACAGCCGCCTATGTGCGCACGGGTCCGTGTGGCCGGGCAAGCCGACAGCGCCGGCAGCGGGCGGCAACGGGCGCAGTCCCATTTCGGGCCGCAGGGTGGTGCTGCCGGCCAAGGCGATGCGCTGAGGCTTTGGGAGAGGAGCCGGCGGAGCCCACACTGGCTCTGCCCAGCCCGATGCAGACGAGCCGAACGCAGCAGAGCTGGGCAGAGGTGGGCAGCTGTCGGAGAGCGGTTCCCCGCGCCATTCGCTGACGGGACACGGCGGCCGCGCTCCGGGTCGCCAGCCGCACTCGGACAGAGGAAGGACGCACGCCCGCAACGCTGCTGCCGGGCGCCGCTTGCCGCGGAGGACTGAGAGGGCGATCCCCGACACGGAGGCTGTCCGCCGCCCCGCCATGGCGACCTCAAGGCAAGTGCTCTGTCTCTGTGCTTTCCTCTCACTGCCGCACGCTCGCGCCGAGCCCATCCGCTACTCCGTAATCGAGGAGGGCGAGAGCGGCTCCGTGGTAGCCAACGTAGCGGAGGACGCGGGGCTGGCCCCGGCGCAGCTCTCGGCTCGCCGCGCCCGCCTGCTCTCGGAGGACGGCCGGCAGCACTTTCGCTTAGACCCGGCTACCGGCCGCCTCGTCGTGGCCGAGAGGCTGGACCGCGAGGAGCTGTGCGGCCAGTCCGCTACCTGCACGCTGCCCTTCGAGCTCCTGCTGGCAAACCCCGTGCAGTTCTTTCGGGTGGAGGTGGCCGTGGAGGACATCAATGACCACGCGCCCGTTTTCCCCGAGGAACGGGTCATTCTTAAGATAGTGGAAAGGAGCGACCCTGGCTCTCGTTTCCCTTTGGAGGGAGCTCAGGACCTGGATGTTGGCAGCAACAGCATCCAGGCTTACAGCATCGTACCTGAGAACAAGTACTTTGGTGTTGATTTGGGGAGTCAAGTTAAGGGCAAGAAGTATGTGGAATTGGTCCTTGAAAAGCCACTCGACAGGGAGGAGCAGGCAGAGATGGATTTCAGTCTCATTGCCATAGATGGGGGCTCTCCACCTAGGAGTGGGACCACCCAAATCCACATTGTCATTCTAGATGTAAATGACAATGCTCCATCCTTCTCGCAGGAGCTTTATGTTGGGCAGGTTTTGGAAAATGCCCCAGAGGGTTCTTTCATTCTCAGAGTAGTGGCAAGTGATCGGGATGCAGGAGTTAATGGGGACATCTCCTATCAGATCAGCCAAGCAGGAGGCCAGAGCCACTCAGCATTCAAGATTGACTCCAGGAGTGGTGAAATTAAACTCACAAAGCCTCTGGACTTTGAGACAGCAAAGAATCATGAGCTCAGTGTGCGGGCCACCGATGGTGGGGGCCTCTCCACAATCTGCAGAGTGTTGGTGGAAGTGGTGGATGTGAATGACAATGCACCAGAGGTGATGGTCAATTCCTTCAGCAGCCCAATCCCTGAGGACTCATTGCCTGGGACAGTCATCGCCCTCTTTACTGTCAAAGACCAGGATTCTGGTTCCAACGGGAAGATATCTTGTGCCCTTGAGGACCAGCTGTCATTCTCCCTGCGGCCAGCCTACAAGAATTACTTTGAGCTTGTGACTGTCAGTGCACTGGACAGGGAGGAGAAGGCACGGTACATCCTGACTGTCACAGCAGCAGACGCGGGATCACCTCCTCTCACAACCACCCAGACCTTCACAGTGGACATCTCTGACGTGAATGACAATGCCCCTGTGTTCAACCAGACATCGTACACCATGTATGTACGTGAGAACAATGTTCCCACAGTGCTTGTTGGGACTGTCAGTGCTGTAGATGCTGACATGGGGTCTAATGCCAAGGTGACCTATTCTCTGGTCCCAGCCCACCCTACAGAGCAGCCTCCCTGCTCCTGCATTTCTGTGAACTCTGAGAATGGGGATGTGTTTGTGCTGCGGCCCCTGGACTATGAGCAGGTGAGGCAGATTGAGGTCACGGTGAGCGCCTCTGATGCAGGGTCACCACCTCTCAGTGCCAACATCACCATCCTCATTTCTGTGGTGGATGAGAATGACAATGCACCAGTGGTGCTGTACCCCTCACAGGACAGCAGCTCTCCATCCAGTGAGCTGGTTCCTGTTTCGGCTGAGGCAGGCTACCTCATCACTAAGGTGGTGGCTGTTGATGCTGACTCAGGTCAGAACTCATGGCTTTCCTATCACTTGCTGAGGGCTGCTGATCCTGGGCTGTTTGTGGTGGCTGCCCAAAGTGGGGAAGTGCGACTGAGGAGATCGGTGACAGAGAGAGATGCTGTGAAGCAGAAGCTCATCATACTGGTGCGAGACAATGGTCGACCGCCACTGTCAGCCACTGCAGCAATTAGTGCACTCTTGCTCAGTGACTTCTCGGACATGCGCCTGACACACAGCAACTTGGCCACAGAGGATGAGGGCATCTCCCTGACAACCTATTTAATAATTTCCTTGGTTTTTGTCTCACTCCTCTTCCTTGTGTCCACAGCAGCCTTCATCACTCACAAGGTGTGCAAGAGAAAGGAGCTGAAGGATGGGCATGTGCTTTACGGTGCCAACAACTTGCAAAGCAACCTGGCTGATGCGGCTGCTGCAGGGACCCTGCCCCATGGCTTTTGCTATGAGATCAGCCTCACGACGGGCTCAGGTAACAGCGAGTTCAAGTTCCTGAAGCCCATCCTCCCCAGCCTGCCACCACAGCTTCATGCCACAGGTGGGGTTACCAACAACGAGCAAGATTTCCCATGTGGTCCTCTCACTATGGAGGACATCGCACCAGACAACCATGGGATGCGTTCTGCAGAACAGTTCAATAGTCTCTCCCTTAAGTAACATGGTGTTTGCACAGCCAATCACGAAATGCTTCCCTACCAGGGTGTGTGGCGTTGGTGCCTCCAGAGTTAATCTGCAGTTGGCATTAGTAATTTCCCACAAAGTCAGAAAAAATATTTACTCCTTCCTCCCCCCCCCAGAAAAAACCCAAACAAAGAAACAAAAACCCTAACAAAACTTAACAAAAGAGACTAGTGCTCCCTTATTCAGGAAATGGCATTTTTCAGCTCTGTTACAGCCATTTCTGAAATGCTTTGAGAGTGGTTTTATTTCCTGGACCCAGCTAAGTTCTTAGCTCCCTTACTGGCAGGCAAGACCATGGACCAATTCCTCTATGTTGTAACACAATGGCGCAGTCAGAGAGACAAACTACAACCTTCCTGAAATGAAATGCTTGTAGCCCTCCTCATGGGTCAGGATATGAAGGACATTCTGGGTACTGTGACAATGTGATTTGACCATGGGGCTCTTTCTTCTCTGAGTTCTGGATGTCTCTGTCTGAGATGGGGGGCTGTGTGTGTTTTTCCTTCTGGACGGTGTCTGTCCATACAGTTATGCATCTGCCTATGCTGCACAAGGGCTTCCCATTGAAACAGGCAGTTGCTCCAATCCTGCCATTGAGAGTCCAGTGAAGCAGGAAGAAATATATTTTGACTCTGAGTACAACAGTCTCATTGCCTCTAGGGGAGAGCAGAAAAATACACAAGGTCTTCCCTAGGCCCATAATGGATGTTTAGGTGATCTGGAAAATACAGCAGCACAAATGGTGTTGGAATAAAATCTTACTAGCCAGACTAGACTAGGATAGAAGTATTTAATCTGAAGGGACCTACAGTGATCATCTGGTCTGACTGCTTGATCCTTTCAGGGCTGACCAAAGTTAAGCTATGATTTTAATGGCATTTTACAAATGCCTGTTAAACATGGGCTTGGGACATTGACTACCTCTCTAGGAAGCCTGTTCCAGTGTTTGACCGCCCTTTCAGGAAAGAAATGCTTCCTGATATGATGCCTAAACATCCCCTGGCATTGCTTTAAAAATTCCCATATGAGGTATCACTGGATATGAGGGAGAAAAGCTCAGTGTCTCGCACTCTACTCCCCCTCCTTAGGAAGCTGGCCCTTACATGCTGCTTCAGTTTTGTGCAGTGTTTGATGCCAACAGGATGCAGTTTGCCCTCTTGGCTGCCAGGGCACACTGCTGGCTCCTACTGAGCCTACTGCACACCAGCACCCACAGCAGCTCCCTTTCTGAAGGGCTGCCCTCTGGCCTCTCCTTGTCCAATTTACACTGAAATCCAGAAAACTACATCCACCACTTTCTCTTCATCAAGGAGGCAGGTGGCCTTAGTACTCAGAGTGATCTCTGTATTTTGTCCAGCAGCTGAGGTGAGACCAACAGGTCTGTATTTGCCTACGTCTTTCCTCATACCCTTCTTGCAGACTGGAAGAACATTACCTTCAAGCCAGGAAGCTTAGGAGACTTTCCTCTGTCTCAGGGGATTGGGCATCCCTGGAGTCTAATTTAAGAAGTGAGGCAAGAAAAGCACTGAATGGCTTCTTTTCTTCGTCCCTGTTACTCAGGGAGTGACCATTTTCCACAAGTACCATTCTAATGTTTTCTTTCAAAATTCTCTTGCTATGAACTTACTTTAAAAGCCATTCCTGTTGTTCACCACACAGTGGTCAGTTTCAACTCTGATCATGTTTTGGTCTTTCATGCCTTCTCCGTGCATATATGAACCACAGTTCTGCAAGCTTCTTGCAAAGACTGACCTTGCTTCCAGAGATCATTTAATTTCTTTTTCCTGTGGAGCTCCACAAGGAGTTCCCTGCTCAGCCATGCTGGTTTTCTGCCCCGCATTTGACTTTTGGCACAGTGGAATTGTCTCGTTATAAGTATATGGAGTTGTGAGATGTTCCTTGTCCTGGGGTGGTTTGTACAGAAGCTCAAGTTGCTTCAAGGGGCTTTTTATAAAGGTAGAATTGAGATTAAATCAGAAAAGGGACATTGTGTTTGGCCCTGTCATTCAAATTCAGAATTGTTTCAGAATTTGGAGGTTTCTTGATGGGAGTGGAAAGATGTCCTGATATGTTTTTTTTCTCTTAGAGCATTTGCATTCTTCTTTTTGTCTTTTCTTCTTCCACTCTGCAAACTGTATTTGAGCAGACTGTTTGAATGCATGCAGTGTGGCATGGCATCTTGGAAAACCCTCACGCTGTGTTGTGCTGCAGTTATAAATTGTGCTATTTGAACTTGGGATACCCTTGTGTGTAAAAGCAAATAAAGACAACACCCAAATGCTTTGTGTGGAGTCAGTCTTCTTTGTAGGGCTGCCCTTTCTGCAAAAGGTCAGTCTCAGTTTCCAAAGGGCCAGGAATGTTGTTTATATGTTGTCCCTTGGCTGAGGTAAGGTTGAGTGGGTACCTTTCTTGAACTGGGAGATGTTGTCAGCAGAGCCTTCAGAAAAGTAGTGGGAGTTGCTGGCCAGCCTCTATGGGTCTCCTCAGTAGTGACTACCTGGCTGTGACGGGGCAGAGTTATATCCAGATTGGGGCAAGCTGACTCCTACAGTCCCAGAGGCTCTGGATATGAAAAGGCCTCTCCAAAACATGGATGTTGGAAGAGTGGCTTTCCCAGCCCTTGTGACAGCTCCAGCTGCAGATGGAACTGTGAGGCTTTTCAGAATGGAGTGTTTGTGACACTAAAGGTGTACAAGTTTCAGAAGATGGATGTCACAAAGATGGTATCCATGTTCCTTTGGAAGTGTTTGGGGGTGCTCCATGAGGTGGGCATTTGGTGAGCAAAACCAGCGACCAGGGAGAGGCTTCTCTCCAGAAATGCCTCAGTCTTCATTGGCAAGTGCTCCAGAATCAATGCCCAAGTCGCTAAGGGCAAGTCATAGACTCTGATGATGATGGATGACCTGCTATAGAAGATCAGGTTTGAGACCATCTAAAGGAATGTGAAGATGTAGAAATTCATGGGACCTGAAGAGATGCACGTGGCCAAGCCGCGAACCATCATGTTTCAGAATTCTTGGCAGTTGAGTGAAGTTCCCACTGGCTGGAAAACAGTAAACATAACCCAAATTTTAACAAAGAGATAAAGGAAGAGGCAGGGAACTACAGGCCGATCAGTCTCACCTTGATGCCAAGAAAGATCATTGAGCAGATGCCCCCAGAAAGGGGGCAAAGGGTAATGGAATATTAGGATGTGATTGCAGTTGCCATTGAACTAATGCCCCTGAACAATTTGGTGGCTTTCTTCAGTGGAGTTATGGGACTGATGGATAATGGAAGAGAGAATGATGTCACCTACCTGGACTTGCATGAAGACTTGGCACTGTCCCAAATTACATCCTTCTTCCTAAACTGGAGAAGCATTTATATGGTGGATGGACAACTTGGTGGATATGGACTTGGAAGGATGATTACACTCAAAGATTTGTGGTTAATGCTCAATAACCAAGAGACAAGCTGCTGGTTGATGCAAAGCTAAATGTGACCTGGCAATGTGTCTTCCAGAGGCTACCAGCATATAAAGGATGTGGACCTGTTGGATTGAGTCCAGACGAGGACCGTGAAGATGATCAGGTTGCTGAAGCAGTGCTCCTATGAGGAAACTCTGAGAGAACTGGGATTGTTCAGCCTGGAAAAGAGGAGGCGGCTTCAAATCAGCCTTCCTAAAGGGGGAGTACAAGCTTGTGTAGTAATAGGACAGGTAGAAATGGCTTTAAAATTAAAACAGATTAGGAAGAAGTTCTTCCCTATGAGGCTGGTGAGGCACTGGATCATGTTTCCCAGAGAAGTGGTTTGGTGTACCACCTATTTCCAGGTTGGATGGGGCTTTGAGCAAGGTAGTCTAGTGGAGTGTATCCCTGACCATGACAGGGGGTTGGACCTTTTGAAGGACCTTTGAATGTCCCTTCCAAGCCAAACCATTCTAGGATTCTATGAAATGCAGAGGACTACAGTCATCCCTTCTGTAAGGCCCTGATAAAAAGGTAAGTGCTGAGTAAAGGCTCTACTGTCCAGTGAGCCTGAGTAGAATCATAGAAACATTTGCATTGGAAAATATTTTAGAGGCCATTGAGTCCAACAGTTATCTTTACACTGCTACGGGCAGCACAAAGCCATGTTCCAAAATGTCATATCTAGGGGTGGTGACTCAACCAGTTGTCTGGGCAGCCTTTGCCAATGCTTGAAAACCCTTTTGGTGAAGAAATCTCCTAACATGTCCAATCTAATGTGACCTTCCTGGCACAAACTGAGGCCATTTCCTCACATTCTGTCTCTTCTTTCTTGCAAGAGGACAGATCCAGCCACTTCACTACAAGCTCCTTTCAGGCACTTGTCTGAGTTGTGTTGCACAAATCCTTTGCCAAAAGGAGAAATTCAGCTCTTTGTAAGCAAGGAACCTGCAGGTAACTCCCACCTGCTACTGGTGAGAAAGCCACCTGTGAGCAGTAAGTCCACATAGGAACAACTTCTCCTGGGGCAGTGGAAATTAACAGAAACTGCCCTCTGTCAGGAAAGCTCTAAACTGGCTGAAGGGCTGTCACGAGGTTACTTTCTCTTTTCCCTGAGTAGGGTCTGCCTGGCATGAAGTGAGTGGCTTGAGTCTTGTGTGAACCTACTTTGCTCAGGGTTATCCACATCGAAACGGACATAGGATTAAGGATGCTAATCTCCTCCAATAGTGACAGCTGTAATAAATGGAGCTGTGAAAGACATCTGAAGGACTCTGTGTGTCTCTCCTGAGATCACAAGAAACCAGCACCTCCTGGTGTAAAACTGCTGTTTCTCAGGTCATTCCAGCTGTAGGGTCTAGGTGTTGGAAGCAGTGCGTAACTATAGTTTATCACAGTTTTACTCAATGAGATGGGAAAAGCCAACTTTCTGCACTGGAAGGACTGCATGCACTCCTGAGCTTTCCCTAGAGCTTCTCGAAGACGCCCTTTAGGAAGCGGTGCAATGGGCAGGAGTGGTCAAAGAGGCTATCCTGGGACACAGCACGCCCCGTGCTTCTGCAACCACCGCCACCCTCGGCATAATCCATCTGAAGGGCTTCTACGCCGCCTCTCGCCAGCGCTGTCTTCTCCGTGTCCGGCCTTGTCTTTGCCGCAGCCACTTGTAAACGGCTCGCCTCCGGGACCTCGCTGGCAGCGGGGAAAGCCGCGGGGCCGCTGCCGGCTCTACCCGGGCCTTACAGATGCGGCAGCGGCCCCGCGGGGCTCTCGGCCCTCCTTGCCCCGCTCTGCCGTCCTTGGCGCGGTGTGTTTGTGTTCTGCCGAGGGGCCCCAGCGCGGGCAAGAGCCCGGCAGCCGTGCGTGTGCGCACAGGTCCGAGTGTCGGGGCGAGACGGCAACGCGGGAAGCGGGCTGACGCGGAGGGCGCAGTCCTGCCTCGGGCCGCAGGGTGGTGCTGCCGGCCTAGGCTATGCACAGCAGTTGAGGGATGGGAGAAGGCTGAGCCCAGCTTTAATCTGCCGAGCCCACCGCGGGTCGAGCAGAGCCGAGCCAAACCCAAACCAGGCGAGCAGCAGCTGCGAACAGCAGCAAGCGGTAGAGAACGGTGCTCCGCGTCATCCGCTGCTGGGACACAGCTACAGCGCTCCAAGAGCTATCAGACTCGGAGAGAAGGACGGCACACGCTCGCCGCACCGTTTACCCTTGCAGGACTGCGCGGGCGATCACCGACACGGAGGCTGTCCGCCGCCCCGCCATGGCGACCACAAGGCAAGTGCTCTGTCTCTGTGCTTTCCTCTCACTGCCGCACGCTCGTCCCGAGCCCATCCGCTACTCCGTAGCCGAGGAGAGCGAGAGCGGCTCCGTGGTAGCCAACGTTGCGGAAGACGCGGGGCTGGCCACGGCGCAGCTCTCGGCTCGCCGCGCCCGCCTGCTCTCGGAGGACGGCCGGCAGCACTTTCACTTAGACCCGGCTACCGGCCGCCTCGTCGTGGCCGAGAGGCTGGACCGCGAGGAGCTGTGCGGCCAGTCCGCTACCTGCACGCTGCCCTTCGAGCTCCTGCTGGCAAACCCCGTGCAGTTCTTTCGGGTGGAGGTGGCCGTGGAGGACATCAATGACCACGCACCCGTTTTCCCCGAGGAACGGGTCATTCTTAAGATACTGGAAAGGAGCGACCCTGGCTCTCGTTTCCCTTTGGAGGGAGCTCAGGACCTGGATGTTGGCAGCAACAGCATCCAGGCTTACAGCATTGCTCCTGAGAGCAAGTACTTTGGTGTTGACTTGAGAAGTCGAAGTGACAGTGACCAATATATTGAACTTGTTTTGGAAAAGCCACTCGACAGGGAGGAGCAGGCAGAGATGGATTTCAATCTCATTGCCATAGATGGGGGCTCTCCACCTAGGAGTGGGACCACCCAAATCCACATTGTCATTCTAGATGTAAATGACAATGCTCCCGTCTTCATGCAAGACCGATATATTGCGCAGATTTTGGAAAATGCCCCGGAGAGCTCTGTGGTTCTCAGAGTAGTGGCAAGTGATCGGGATGCAGGAGTTAATGGGGACATCTCCTATCAGATCAGCCAAGCAGGAGGCCAGAGCCACTCAGCATTCAAGATTGACCCCAGGAGTGGTGAAATTAAACTCACAAAGCCTCTGGACTTCGAGGCAGCAGCAAGACATGAACTCAAAGTTCGAGCTACAGATGGTGGGGGCCTCTCTGCAATCTGCAAAGTGTTGGTGGAAGTGGTAGATGTGAATGACAATGCACCGCAGCTGGTGGTCAGTTCCTTCAGCAGCCCAATCCCTGAGAATGCATTGCCTGGGACAGTCATCGCCCTCTTTACTGTCAAAGACCGGGATGCTGGTGCCAATGGGCAGATCTCTTGTGCCCTTGAGGAACAACTGTCATTCTCCCTGCGGCCAGCCTACAAGAATTATTTTGAGTTGGTGACCGTCAGTGCACTGGACAGGGAGGAGAGGGCACGGTACATCCTGACAGTCACAGCAGCAGACGCGGGATCACCTCCTCTCACAACCACCCAGACCTTCACAGTGGACATCTCCGATGTGAATGACAACGCACCTGTGTTCAACCAGACATCGTACACCATGTATGTACGTGAGAACAATGTTCCCACAGTGCTTGTTGGGACCGTCAGTGCTGTAGATGCCGACATGGGGTCTAATGCCAAGGTGACCTATTCTCTGGTCCCAGCCCACCGTACAGAGCAGCCTCCCTGCTCCTGCATTTCTGTGAACTCTGAGAATGGGGATGTGTTTGTGCTGCGGCCCCTGGACTATGAGCAGGTGAGGCAGATTGAGGTCATGGTGAG